CGCAGAAACACCGTAGCGAGTAACTTTGCCATCCGTAACATCGTAACATGCTTCGCCACCCATAAGGAATCCTTCATGACCAATTACAACATCTCCTTGAAAAGTAGGTCCCTTAAGAACATCAACATAGAGCTTTGTGTGAAAACCCGGTTGTTTGAAAATTAAGCCACCCTTGACGTTCTTATTTCCATGAAGTGGCTGGATATATGCAGTCATGTCCAATTTTAAACCTTTTGCAAGGCTATTTTCTAGTTCTACTTGGGTACTTAAATGGTTGTTTGTTGTCCAAGTTTCTGTAAGTGTAATACCCTTCTTAGGATAATGATACTTGCTTTTAAATTCACCATTTATGTCACCACTTTTTGTGTTTTTTTGTCCGGAGAGGGTAAAGGACTAAGCAAAAAAAAGAATCGAACATATAAGAAGTTATGACATCTATAATAAGCCAAAAGTGATTCGCTATTTTATTGAACTTACTACACCGTTAGGAGCTGTGTTTTTAGTCTCAAGCTTGAAGACACCGACCGGATAGTCTTTGCCTAACAGATCACTGGCAGATTTGCCAATATCTGAATAGCATGCGGGAATAGGGGCAGACATCGTACTATTTAAATAGTAACATTTTTGGTATCAAAGTACTGCCAAATAAATAAAAGACAACTGATTCCAAAGAAATACTCACGAGAAATGGTGAATCTAAATGGTGTTATTATTTCAAGAGCAAAAGTTTTAAAATTTACATAATTATGATTAAGATTGATTAAAAAATTTTATCAATAACGATAATGCTAAAGTAACCGTAACACAAATAATCATGCAGATGAATATAACAGGGGGAAACGTCAACAGGGGGAAACGTCACATCATTTGCAGATCCGTTACACAATTCATAAAGAACTTTTTTATATTGTTTTAAAGTACTTTTTCGGAAAGCTCACGTTACTTCCCCTACTTTGAAACGTAGAGTAGCACTTTGTAAAATTGAAGGTTTAGAGCAGTATTTTAATAATATCGAGTGAATCCCACATAAAAGATCTATATAAAATGAAGGAATGCACTAACTGCCAAGCCACCGAATCTTGTAAATTCCGTGCGTTGAAGGATAAAAAGTGGAACGAAGCTAAAAATAATGGTTTGGTGAAGGAAACGTGGGTAGAAGGTATTATTTTATGTAATGCTTGTTACATGTAATTGGTACAAAACCCATTAAGCAGAAATCCAAAGAAAGCAAGAATCGTTGAAGAACAGGTAAGTATGTTAGAAGAGGTAGAAGAGAGGAGTAAGATCAACTTTACTAAGGCTATTAAGTCTATAGCCAAAATTCTTTATGAGAGGGAGCATGTAAAAAAAGAAGCTCCTATATACGTTTTTGATGAGATGCAAGAATTATTTCAAGAAACTGACCCAACTCTTGAAGATTTTTTTAAACAGCTTTATTCTACAGCTCGGCCCTTGAACGTAATGAGCAAACAATAGGCCGTATGAAGAAATTGATGGTTTTAATATGTTATCTTCTTGCCTCTTTGAATAATACAAAAATTAACTTTTTTAAGTTTGATCTTGCATTTTATCTAGATTCGGCGAGAACAAGTAAAGAAGGCTTGAATACAATGGCGAGTCTCGACGTTACCACAACGTTGCAGGCAGTAGGTTAGCATAAAAGAAGGATATCAGGAGCACATGAAAAATATGCGAAGAATGCACTTTTTCAGCAATTGGAGAATGCACTTGTGCTAAATGTCGATGACTATCATAATATCCACATCCCACAGCAGCCTAACACTATAGCTACTTCTAGACCAACATATATGGCAACAATTTTAATGAACCCGTGTTTAAGACCTGCAATATTGTGTAATAGAATAGTTAATTCAAGGTTCATAGATAGCTATTTGATTATGAAACATCTTGATGAATGATTTATCATAAATCTTGGTGTTTCATATCACAATCGAATGTGAAGCAGAGAACAAGCTTGTACTGATGAAGAAGTATTAGATAGACTAACAATACATAGCTATGATGATAGGCTTGCAAAGAAAAAGAATGATCGACATATACGCAACTCAATTCTTGTTGATTTTGTTAAAAAAGAATTGAAAAATATAAAAGAATATATTGATGCCCTTCGAATTGTATATGACCAAGAGCCAATGCGACTGTATCTTTCTAATTATGCTGTTCCTACTGTCGTGGATTGGCCTGGCCAATTTTTTATCCGTAAAGCCATTGTACAATGGCTTCTTCTCAACAATAAAAGTATTCCTCGGTTTGATACATGATTTTGCATAATCATTATATCCTTAAAATTATTTGAGGTATAGCGATAGTCTTAAATTATTAGA